TGTTATATGGAAAAATAAGTGACTAACAAGTCTAATGCAAGAAGTTGTATTAAAAACAGTAGTTAGTGTACTTCGTGTCTTTCTATGAATTTTAATGCCATCAAAATCAACGATAGTTTTCTGCAAGTTTGATTATTTATTTTTGCATTAACACACGCACTCTAAACCACAACAGTAATCTACAGACACCAGACGATTCATCAGAGATATCTGAAATGATAACAGAAATCTTTGTGGTGTTACAATTGTCTCCAAACCAATTGAATTCCAATATTTCTTTTATTAAAGACTAACAATAGTATTAATAATAGAAACACGTGTAAACAAGCAATGGATACAAATATGTATTTATTTCAATTATAAAAAATTATATTAAAAATAATGTCGTCCCAATCCATCACCTCATAAAGTTGTATGTTCTTATATACATTATCTTATGCTAAAATATCGTGAACGCTAAATTAGTGCTGCATAACATCATTCCTTTGTTACTATTAACCACTAATCTTTATACATTAGTTTAGGACGTAAAATATCACACATTCAATTTTTTAAAATATTTGAAATTCAGACAAGTAAATATCAGGGAGGCTATAGAGTTCAAAATATAAAATTTATCACGCAGTATTTGTTTCTATAGTTGACTGTGTTTTAATGTATCTGTTTCAATGCAAACTTCTTTATATATCCTAATTTTCAGAAATTTAATACGGGTGTAAAGGAATTACAAGGATTTAATTGATTCAAAAATTGAGTTATATAACTTATTATATATGTATATATTAACCTAACCTATATGAGCATTCTTAGCCACCGCAAACATCTTGCTATATCTGTAAGGTTTCAGACATGTTATACCATGTCAAATATAAATTATATTATATAGTTATATTTTTACACTATATGTTATTATTATTGTTATTATTGCTATGGGATGTGGCCACTGTGCCCCTTCTTGGTTTAAAGTAAGTCTTTAAGCACTGTTGCGTCGATAAAAAGTAGTACACAACCTACTTTACAGAGTTTTATTGCCTCTTCCGCAGTGGTATACATTTCCAGGAGCCTGTTCCGTATATATATTAGTGCAGGGCATTCTAGCAGCACATTTGTGGCTGACACTTCATTCTCTTTGCAAAATCTACAGTTTGCAGCCATGTATATACCTAGTCTCGTGAGGTGGTATTTTAATTTACAGTGTCCAATTAAAATTCCTATAGCGATTCTAAATTTTTCCTGTATGTTTCCGCGTACGCCAGTATGTCCTAGTACCTAGAGAATCGACACCTGATTTGATTTGATGAGCAGATTTAGCTTATCAAGGCATTCTTGCACCAGTCTTGAAGTCACCTGATGCGAGTTCGCCGCTAGGCTATCTGCAGTATAGCGATATTTTTTGTCTGGTAATTCCATATTGAAAAGTACGCACCTTCCTCCGTAAGCCAGCCCTCAGTAATATTTTTATACAACACTCAAGCCTTTTGGCTTGAACCTATAAATTAAACCTTTTTATATCGTAACGATTCCATGATATTTAATAGAGCTATTCAAAAGCTCGTGATCAAACAAGACAACTTCGTTTTAGTACCTTGCGAAATCACGGCTATAGTTCCCAGGAGAATCATGTTTAGTTCTGTTTTGTATCTCGTATACACTGTAGATATACTGTAATTACTAAACTATTTATATTTGGTAATGATACGACAATATTAAGTCCCCACTCACACAACGAAGTGGCATCGATGTAATTGTAGGAGCACTGGAACTATTTTAAAAACTAGTTAAACTGCTAGCGAATCAGAGTAAATGAAGCTAAATTAGTTCAAGTGACGTTTACCCTGCGCAGGCAAATATATCCCCCAGTAGTACCTACTAATAAAAATATAGCATGATATCCACTCAGACCAACCTTTCTTAGTCGACATTCTTGAAATTCAAGAGCATTACTAAGTATTAAGAATTTTCTTCATTGCGAAATATATAATAATTCTTCCTACTACATTCGTTTGGTGAAATACTTGAACCAATGCCGCACTTCAGTTGTGTTATTCAAACTTGAAATTTTGTCAAATTGCTGTTGTGTCACCAACAAACTCTATGTCCTATCGTTAGAAAATATAGATATTTGATCGTATACCAATGTGAAAATGGCTATTCGCTGATTTTTTTGAGAACAGCGAATAGCCAGTAGTCGCTGGTTTTATTGACTTGTGACATGGTGCATTGTCTTGGTGAAACAAAATTTTTTTCTTCACCATATACGGTCGTTTTTTTCAGAATTTTTGCTTTCAAACGATCCAGTAATGCCGTGTAGTAGTTACTATTGATGGTTTTTCCCTTTTCGAGATAGTCAATGAAGATTACACCATGTGCATCCCAAAATACTGAAGCCATAACCTTCTCAGCTGACTGTTGTGCATTGGGGCGCTTCGGAAGTGGTTCACCGGCTGCAGTCCACTCAGATGATGATCGTTTTGATTCCGAAGTGAAGTGATGGATCCATGTTTCATCCATTGTCACATATCGACGCAAAAAATTTGATTTATTACGTGTAAACATGGCCGATCATCAACACGTTGTTGTTTTTGATCGACTGTGAGTAAACGTGATACCCACTTTAAAAACAGCTTTCTCATGGTCAAATGTTCATGCATAATTGTAAACACACTGCCTTCTGATATCTTTATGGTCTCACCTATCTCATCAATTTCAATTTCCTATCAGATATAACCAATTTCTGGACTTTTTTGATGTTTTCTGGAGTAACCACCTCAATTGGACGACCAGAACGTTTACCATCATCGGTGTCTGTACGACCGCTTTTAAATTCAACAAACCAATAACAAACGGTTCTTTTCGATGGAGCAGAGATAACACTTTTGAAGCCATTGCTGAGTTTGCAAAGTATTTTTTTTCATCAAGAAGTAATGACAAATGAACACTCGAAATTGTTTTGAATCCATTGTTTTGAATGGATTGAATGGATAAATGGCAGTCACTTTTTTCTGACTAATCGAAATGTCATGAAATTTTACACATAGTCTTTTAAAGGTTGGTACTTCATAAACGTCATATAGATTTGACAATGGCAGCGCCATCTGTGTGTCAGTTACACGACTAATTAACTGATGTATTATATTAAAACAAATACATAAGGACGTAAATGTATTAAATCGTAGTTAGTACTTAAATTTTTTAGTTGATATTGTTAGACAATTGATTCAACAAATAAAATATAGCCAAAATAACAATTTGGTGTATATTTTTTTACTATTAAGTAACTATTATTCTATTCAAAAAATTTTCTTCTTCATGCTTGACTTTAAACAAAGTTAATTAAAAAAATTTTGCATGGAATTAAGATTATGTTTCATCGATGTAAACTGAGTCATTTAGAAAAAAAACTTTAGATAAAATATTTTAAATATTTTATAAAAAAAAATAAAATTACAAATACAATCAAAACCCAATTGTTAGGCAGCTGTTAAAAAAAATAAACCTTAGAAAAATTTCATAGAATATTTTAAATCGCATCAGCGTAGAAAATTAAGATACTTGTAATTGATACTTTTATGCGTAAACTCGAAAGTGCATTGTATGTTTAGAGATACTTCAGAATATTTATTCTTTTATTTACATTACTCAATATAAATTTTCCAAATCATTTCCTTTTCAGTTTTCTTTTCAAGGACTATGCAACGCAACAAACAAAGAAATCATGATATTTAAGTTTATTCATCCTGCTAATGTGAATTAGTAACGCTAGATTAAATTATTAAATATCAAAATACCACTTTTTTGAAGTTTAGAAAAACTGTTCTTCATTCTTTGATTGCAATCCATTTTTTCAAATCTCTAAAAAATTAAGAATTATATTGAACTTGGTTAAATTTAGGATCTCATGAGACATTACTCAAGTAGTAGAAAATAATCGTATTAACATATTTTTGTATTTCCATAATAAACCCGTATTTTCTTGGTTTCTTAATTATACCCAAAATTAAAAATATTTATAAATTTTAAAATTATATATATAATAAAAAATTCTTTAAGTTTTTAGCAATCTTATAAAGAAAATAAGTTTCCATCACCAAGGGCAATAACTCTAGCATATTAAATATTAATATCAATGTATTACAAATACTGCCTATTACTACCTAACTGAATTAAGTATTTAGCTACATCATCGTCATCCATGACTACACAGTCCATGTAGGAGCTAAGCCTGTTTTACAACAGTCTTCCATTCTTCTCTGTTTTTTGCTTTTATTTTCCAATTTCTTAGGTTCATTTCTTTTAAATCCATTGTCTTGCACATTGTCTTTCCATCGTTTTCATGGACACCCTCTTCTTCTGCTGGTTCCTACTTCGTTCTCATAAAGGAGGATGGCTGTCATAGGACACCATTGCATTGGTGATGATTTGGCAGCCAACCTTAAGCTAAATGAGCTGCTTTCAATGACAAGAGATCCAGTTATGCAAAAGGAAGCCACTGTAGCTTTAACTCAATAACGACATCCGAGAATCGAAGGACGAATAAGGACCCAAATCATTTCGTTGTCTACTTCGGCTAATCCTTCATTTCAGTGGAGCCATTTGTTGGACGGTGCGCTGTCCTAACGCCTCATAATTTATATGTTAGATAAAACTCAAACCCTCCGATTTTCATTACGCTAATTGCATTGTTCTTAAATTAAAAACACTTGTTCTAATTATATTGCTTTTTATAATGCCTTTTTCTATTAACATAAGAATATCTATATTACTAATTCAAAATTATTATTACGGATATTAGTGGTAAATATAGCAACATGCTTTTTAAAGCTACTATACTTCCTTCATGGACTTAGAATGTTTCTCTCGGGCTCAGTTCTTTAAGAAAAAGTACAAATTTAATATAAAATAAATTTATTAAAAAAAACATAATATAAATTGTTTTATATAAATATGAAATTTTTTTAACTTTTATTAACAATTATATTTTAATAAATGATGATACATGATAAAATATTTATATTATATACACAAACTATATTGCATTCTACATTGCAACTACGTGCGGCCAAAGGAAGCTAGCTATTATTCCAACGAAAATGCCAGTCATCAGCATGGCACAGGCAAACATGCCAGCCTTGTCTTGGTGTTCGGTAACACTTAGTGGTGCATACATCATAGCAAGTGCTCTGGAAATATTTTAATGAAACTAAATTTAATTTGATAATAGATGAACCTACGAAAAGTAACCATGTGTATAAGACATAGTCACACCCATGAATATGTACACCCATTCATTTCCGATTACTACGGGCAGTTGACGCACTTCACCCTTCGGGTTATAATTGCACAATAGAAACAGTGGTATATAAAAAAGACGCAGGACAGTCGCAATCACTAATGTCTGAGGAGATGGCTAGAAAATTTGATATGAAAATACAAAAAAAATACAAAGAGTACTTTATCAAAAATGTTTTAAGTATAAAAATTTTATATAATTAAAAAAAAAGGAACAATAAATAGTACTAATTTATGAAAACAATTTCAATATCTGAACTACCTTTTAACTTACCCATTTGACCCAAACACTGGTCAAGGAACCCAACATTGCGAAGACATTGAAAACCAAGTAACAAGTGAAAAGTGCAAAATATTCAGGCGGTATGATAAAATTGGGATTCGTTGCCTGAATATCTGGATTAAAAGTAATTTAAAAATTATGTTATCTTAAATATAATACAAATAGGTTTCCATTCTTTACCGGAATGTACTGCAGGAAATATTGTCAATGTGACGAAAAACACAAGAAACGCATTAAACACTTGCAAAAAAGCTTGCTTCCATATTCGTAAGAATGGAACATCTTCAATAGTGCTTTCCAATTTAGCTGCCAAATCATTTTTACGCAATACTTCATTAGAACGAAAATATTCCTTTAAATAGATAAAAAAGTTAGATAAGCTTGATATTTTATTTATACTAATATTTTATAATGTTTATATATACTAAATATAATATTAAATATTTATAATAATGATTGTACAATTTTTAAAATGCTCGAGTTTCAACAATGGTAGTGATTAGATTTATGGCAATTAATTTTGAGAAACAATTTTTTAAAAAAATATCTGAGTAGAAACTTTAAATTCCTTTAAAATATATCTTATCTATATATCTCATCTATGGTATATCTTATGTTAGTTTTCGTATTCTGTTTAAAAAAATTTATACAAATTCAAAATAAATACTTATCGCTAAGTTGGTAACTTTACTTTTTATTTTACTAATTTGTAGTCTGACTAACTTGAATATATATCGATTAAATAGATAGATTATAGATATATAGCTCTAGAAAATATTCAATCCCTATATTATCTTTCCAATACTACATATACTCGTAAACAAATTATATTTCTGAAATTCAAATCCCATTCACAAAAATTTTAATTTTATGATAGTACTTAATGAAACTATACATACATATACTATATATCAAAATATGATACGGGCATTATTAACATTATCAAATATACATTAAGACTATTGATAAACTCATTGTTCTCTTCATAGCCCAATTGGTCTAGGAAAACAAGCACATATAAATAGAAAACTTGCACAATGGAATAAGATAGGAATAGTGAAGAGGTATAAAGTAGTAACAAGGGAAAGACTGAAATGTTAAACCTAATTTGGATTGAAGTTAGTCAGGATAAGCCGCGTAATGTCTTGCTCAAGTTGTTTAGGAAAACAAGCACATGTAAAGAGAAAACTTGCATAATGGAGCGAATTGGAAATAGTGAGACGATATAAAGTAATAACAAGGGAAAGACTGATATAATGCGCCTAACTTGAGTTGAAGCTAACTCAGGATAAACCTCATAATGTCTTTTGGTTCTATGTCCTAGACTTCTTTTAGTTTGAGGAAAGGTAAATACTTTTCATTTCCATATGAATTTTTTAGTAATGATGAGGTCTGCTAAGTATGTTTTATAAAAAGTAAGTGATGCTGCGGAAAGTTTTATTACTCTCTTTTGCACGCTTGTCAACTTTTTGAATACATTTGAATAATGAAAAAAATATGATACATTTGAATAATGAAAAAATAGGAATGCAATGAAATAAATCGATAAAAACTATGATAAATTATTTACTTACATTTAAACGCAGGGCTAAGAATGTTAAATGGCAAATAAACAAAAAGAAGAGCGCCGATAGAAAACTATAAATTGCAGCTCTCCGTAAAGTAGCAAAAAGGTATTGAAATAAAATTGAAAGGAGTGTAACAAACACTCCATTTATATTGTTGCCCAGAATTATTCCTCCTGTATAATTTGGTGGCAGCGATGCAGCTATGCCATAAAGTGAACTTTGATATACACCAATTGCACCTATAAGAGAATTTTAATAATTTATTAACTTATACAATACAGATATGTTATTTTATTTTCTTACTATTTAATAGGATAACCGTTAACATTGTAAAAACGAAAAAAAGTATTACTTGGTGAGACGTATCACATACAGCCATAAGAATTGTAAACACAAACAGAATAATTAGAACCCAAATACTAAAAAGTATTCGCTTCATTAGTCCTCCTGAACTGTTGTGGAAATAAACATTATTTTGATAGTAGTTTTATTATATTTACAGAAAATATATTTTAGTATAGTTGATATATAAAAAATTAAAACTGACAATAAATAATATGTCTCATTTTCATAGCAACATCCACAATCGTAACACGATCAAAGAAATATACATCTCAAGACAAGACGGGGATCTATTATATTGCCTAAAATTCTGTCGTACAAAATTTTGAATATGTGGGCTACCATATCAATGAGAACTGGGATTGTTTTGAAGAACAAAATGCCGAAAAGATACATAAGTATCGCCAACAGGGGCTTATGGGGTGGTGGCCACTCTCTAAAAGTGTAACTATAATAATATTTTGTAATATTTCATAAATAAAAATCAACCAATGAGGTTTTGGTCTCCATAAAATTAATATAGAGGGTTTTCTTTTTGCAGTTATTGCGGACAGTAATTGAAAACAGATTCCCGATTTAATGTTAGTTTTTTTCTTGCAATAAGATAAGAATTTCTATTAGTTATTTTACTACAATAAATTATTTTATAGTTATCCGTTTAAAGAAAGGGAAATTTCTTACATTATGCGGCCCTTAGTCCTTAGTATACTCATACATCATGAGTATATACTATATTCATGTTTCGCAAAACAGTACTGAACAGTCATGATCTCTATCCTAAAACCATAATTCGGTTATGAAATAACTCTATGTATGATCTGTACTATTCAATGTCATAGAAAACTAGACTTCAGAAGTAGCAGATATCAATAAGCTCAAATTATTTAAATTATGAATCTTTAGAGGAATCTTAAGTATACTATCAACAAACCATATTGCAAACAATCAATGTTTACTAAAAATGAACTGTGTTTGACAGCTGCTGAAAGAAAATATCCCATTTAGGACTTATTTTGTAAAATATGATATAAGAGTTACTATATCTTAAGATAGGAAAAATGGAAGAAAAACGGAATATAGTAGCCCAAAACAATGTTTATAAGAAATAAGCAAAACATGTTAAGGTTCTTCTTAAACAACCATAAGTGGTTGCATTAGATATCATCCAAAACGGTTTGTGGTATTTTTTAATTACCATAACGCGTTGCGACTATCTTTACAAGTGCCAGAACACGAATTTCACTTCATGACTGTTTCGAGTTATCATCGTGTTGTGACTGCTTTTTCATTTAAAAAGTATTTTCAGTTTTTGAGCACAAAACAAATAAATAATTATTTTCTCTTTTTAGGTTTATAATTATTTCATACCCAAAATTTACAAATATATTCAACCACATAAAGGATACACCTGGCAACATCGAACAAAATCCAACATATTGCAGATAATATTTGGAATAAACTGTTAATTCACCTTTTGAGCTAACCAATTTAAAATCTGAAAAATACTTTAAAAAAAAATGTGTAACTTTAAAAAATGGATTGTTTTTTTTAATTTCATAATTATTTTACTCACAGCTTTTGAGGTTATGAACATGTTCCATGGCATCAGTATGCCGATTCCATTCATAATAAACACAAAATACACAAAATAACATTTATCCTCAACCTAAAATAAAGTCAAAAGGAATACATTATTTAAAATATTTTCTGAAAAATAGTATAAATGAAAGAAATGGTTTTTAGATTCAAGATCCCGGGAAGAAAGAGTTAATTTTCCCAACATATTTTTCGAAATGTAGGGTGCCCAAGAAAAATATATTCAAAATATCTTAAACAAGGAAAGCGCTTATGTCGCAAAAATAGGATCATTTAGAACAAATAGCTAATCTATTGTAAAGTTACTGGATAATGAATGCAATTCTAGTCAATTTTTATTTATGCGCTTCCACTGTCAGTTCATTACAATAAATATATTTTGTCTAATATGATGAAAGACAATACATAAATATAATTATATAAAGCTATTTATATTTAATTTTAAATAATTATTCTTTATCTCTTTTACGAAAAGAAAGTCCTTTTATGTGACTTGTAAAACCTAGTAACTTCTTAGTTATTAATGTGGTAATCGCTTAGTGAATACAAACCTAATAAACAATTTATATATAATACTTAGATGCATGTACATAAATCCCCTTTAAGTCTACGTAGGTTAAATTCAGATAGAAAGAAATAACATCTTATTATTCAAAGTCTTCTGACATATTTTGGTGATACAACTTAAAGTACAGATTTTAATAGATCCTATATACAACATTGTTATGATTCTTTTATAAATCGATTTATATAATGACATACCATGTTAAGAGGATGTGCTCTGGAATATCTTATAACAGCTACAACAATTTGAATTCTAGATTATGTATATGGGAGTATATAAATAGCTTTTGTATATGCTTTTATATTGAAAATTTTAAATATTTAAAAAATATTTTTGAATATATTTACACAAAATTGTTTCTATTGCGCTTACTATGATATATTCATATGAATTTATATGACTTTTTTCAGAATAAGATTTCTTTGCAACATTATATTTCGGTAAATATTAAAAAAGTACCCCGAGCAAATTAACAAAACTCCAGAAAAATGGGCGAACATAAAAGTCAAGTATAGCTTTGGGTCAATTGGTTAAGAAGCGCTAACTCTGAGTTTCAAATGTGGCAGGGCACGAGTTCAATCCCTAGTACTTGCAGTCTCAAATTATTTAGTAATAATTAATACAAGAAATATTTCCAAAACCTCTGATGATGACTATTTGGCAATACTCGAAAGAGTTGTATGGTCAACCAAAAATTCAATTAATTAAAATAATATGAAATGAATTTTTGTTGTTGTAGTTCACTACTATTCGAAAACTTCCTCATTAAAACTTTTCTCAAATATTTGAAAGAATATAAAATTACTCAGAATAAACTTCTGATTTCTATAAAAATTTTTAATGTCCCTAAGAGATTTAATATCATGTTTAATTTAATTTATTTAATTATATTTAATTTAATTAAGTGTGGTATTATTGTTAACACCATTATGAACCGCATAAATTTCTGAAGTAGTTGGAAACTCTGAACCAAAATTTAAATTCGTTAAGTAGAGATAAAATGTCATCATAATGATGTAAGAAATTTCCATTTATTTATTACAATTAAAAACATTTAATTTAAATTTATTAATAATAATCTCTCTTCATATGCGTGGTTTCAGGATGGTTTCGGTTATGGTTTAATTGAATTACACTAAAAAGTTAAAAAATTATGATTTAAACAAACAAGCAAGCAGACACACCAGCTTATGTTTATTGATAGAAGTAAACTGGTCTGGTCGTCTGTAAGAAAGAATGGCGTTGAAACATAGATTGACCGTATTTGTGATCTACAAAAATAACAATAAAAACAACTGATTCCAATTCAAAATCGTTTAAACTCAAAAGTAATTCGCAATCCTGATTGTTAATATTTAGAAAGAAAACTTAACATAATTAAATAAACTTATTTTTCAAATCAAACAAATATATATAATAATTTAAGATTTATTTGAACATATTAAGGTTTAAATTATACATTCATATATTAATTTAATCGCAATGAATTATTTCTTAATAAATTTACACAATTAACTATGACTAATATATATATATATATAATTTTAAAATATTAAAACTTTTTTTATTTTAAATAATTTGTATGATTAAAGAATGATATTGATTATAATAGACTTTTATCAATTTGTCATAATAATATTAATTTTGTAATTATAACGTAATTGAATTAATGTCGTCATAAAATAATTGTTTAATTAACAATAATTTTTTATTTTTTTAGCTTAACTTTACCTAATATTTTGTTAATATTTATTGAACTATATAATAATGATATATTTTTCTCGCAGAAGTTTAGTAAATTTATTATATAGTTTTAATTTACATAGTTGTTTTATTATTACATGTTAAATGTTTCTAATTTAATTAAGACATTTTCATTTATATTGCCAATAAATTACACAAATTAACAAGAAACTTTAATTGTTAATAGAATTGTTTTGGAATGAAAAAATTGTATTTATATAAATACTAGATTACACAAACATAATATAATTTTTAGAAAATTTAAGAAAATAAAATACACAAAGTATATGTATAAATTGTACAATTTTTGCATATATTGTACAATACTTTATATAGTAGTATAAAGAAATATTTTATAATTAACTATTGACACATATTGACACGATTAATTTAAACTAAATATTTAATTTTATAAAAAAAACATGCAAAAATATAGAAAAAAAATAAAATAAAATACAGGAAGAACAGAAAGTTTTTAAATATGAAAAACACAGCATATAATGAATTTGGCCCAGAGATCGTTGCTTCGAAGTAAAGTATATCAATCGCACGCTGCGGGTTGCAAAAGAAAGTAAGCTCGTCGTATTCTCATAATTTGACGTAAATTATTTAAAAATTTTGATAAGTCTTACTCTCTCGTCACTCTTAAAGTAGTTGGTAATATAATATAATGTAGTCAGTTGTTATGACCTATAGTGCTGCCTTGTATATGTAGATATATATTATGTATTGAAATACATATTACAGTTTATATGATTTGCTTGTATATGAGGCATTATGTTGCGATATCACACATTACTATCGGTACCCACAGCTCCAGTGAAAGAAAATGGTTGTGCATTATTTACAATGCTAGCGCGATCATTTGTTGTAGGCGTGTTTCCGGCCAATCCTGAATTTACAGCTGTTTGTCGCATTTCAGAAGCAGAGGCTCTGTAGAATAAGAAAAATAAAATATATTAGTTTAATGTGGTATAAATATATAAGTAAAAAATAATTATATATTTAGAAAAATTGTAAAAAAAAAATATGCTAGAGAATGCTAGAGAATATGCAAATAGCTAGAGAAAAAAATACGGTTATATTAAATTTAATTATATCTATTAAATACAAACTTATAATTATAATAATCATCCAATTAAAAAAGAATACAATAAATTTGAGATAATTAAAAAAATACATCAAATATTACATATATACAATTTAAATAAAAATAAGTGTAAAATAAAATTTATTTACAGTCAAAAATGAGGAAAAAACTATTTAAATAGATTGCGATAAATACTAATTTAATACAACAAAATATTATTTTGAATTAATTAAATTTTTTTTGACAGTCCATACAACGGTTTCTGATGTTACTAAATTTAACTATTTATTCCTTTCTATTTAAGATAGAATATAAATTATACCAAATAAAGAGTATCAATTTATTATCATGCCAAACGATAAAGAAACTTATTTGCACTAAATTTTTTGAATCTTAAATTAAAATATAAATTATCTAAAAACTACAAACTAAAGTTTACTAGTCTAATAGGTATATTAATATATTTTTATATGGAATTACTAATAAATGTATAAACAAATGCTTGTAATATAAATATTAAAAATTTTTTAAAAAGTGCTTTTTATACATATAAGTATATATATATATACTTTTTAATATATTTTTAATTTAAATTTTTAAAAAATTCAATTTTTAAAGCATATATTACCAATATTAAATTAGATATTATTAAATCCTAATAAACCGTGATGACGTATATGACAATTAAAAAAATTGTATGGCAATTTTATAACTTTTTAATTAATTTTATTGGATTTATAATGCAAACTTTTTATGGTTTTTTTTTAATTCATTCTTAATTTGGATTATTTTAATAACTGAGTCTTCAACTATATAAATGCAATAAGAGTTATTAAAAAATTATGACTCTATGTGTCCATATTTTTTATTTTTAATTAATCAGATAAGCCTTCATTTATTTTAAATCAATATTTACAACTAGTAAATAAAAAAAAACCACAAACATAATTTATTTCTTTATTTCAATGTTTGTCCCAACTTTTTCATTATTCAAAAATCGATATAGCGATGTCAAAGATTTAGATATATTTCAATACATTATCCAAAAATCGTTATAGCGGTGTCAAAGATTTAGACAAATTTCAATACGCTTTTTTCAACTTTTTCAGTAGGCTTTATGTCCATACAAGCTAATTCTCGAGATATCGGGATTGAAAACTGTAAACTTTTTACATTGATTATATTATCAAAAAACAAACACATACTCTATTTAACGGTAAGTAATATATCCAATTTTTACATTAATTAAACAAATAGGAATTAACAAAAACTAGAGTAAAATCTTGAGAAGCGACTCAAGCTTTTCATTTAAAAATTTGCAGTTTTAAATCCAAATATCTTGAGAATTAAGCTAACTGCAGTTAGAAAAAGATAAAATTTTCAGAAGTTCTTTATTAAATCCCTCATCCAGAGAAATCTAGGTCGTGGTTTATTTTTTCTTTTACAAGCATTTTATTATACATTTTAAAATTACAATTCTTGCTATAATCTACAAAGTGTTTGTTACTACGTTTATACGAATGATATTCGCAATTTTCTCAAACCAACTATTTTCAGTAATCATTGTCTATGTGCCAAAATAAATACTGACATTATTTTGCTTCCGCAAATATAAATATTTAACAAATTTCAATATGCACTATATATTTTAAGACTATCATGAACGCAAAGTTGGCAAGTTTTTGTCTTAATAGTACGTTTCGATTTCAATTTATCTTACATGAGGCAACAATTTTTGCCAAAGAAAACTTTAAGTGTTTACACTTTAGCTTTCAGAGTTTAACGAACAATGAAGCAAAAGAAAAACCAATTGTTTAAAATTAGCGTTTTAATATAATTCGTCGCAAAATTTTAATATTATTTACTGTTAAATTGAAGCAAATAATAAAATTTACAAACATTTTGCGCATATCTGTCTCACATAGATTTAAAACGAGAAATTATAAATTTATTCACAGCTGCAATTTTATTTGCAATTTGTTTTTATCAAAACTTGCGAAAAAATAAAAACAATAAAATAAAATAAAACAATAATAAAAAATAATTATCCACTTATTCTGCATATCTTTGCATAAATATTGTGTAGATTTTGTATAGCAAAAGTGCATGAACCTAAGTATACTATCAGATAATTACAACCGATAATTGTAGTAAGTTCATCTAAGTCGTAAATTACACTGTAAGTGTGTGCTTTGTATAGCAAAACTCCCTGAACCCAACACACTTATCGAAATAAACCCGACAGAGTACGAAAGATTAAGTATACTATTAGATAATTACAATCGATAATTATAGTAAGTTTATCTAAGGCGTAAATTGCAATGTAAGTGTGTGTTTTTCAAAATCGTTAGTTGGTAATTACAATTATATCTTTCGCATAAACATAGTATATAAAATATAGACGTGCCAAACAAACATTATCAAAACATTGTCTAAATTTAATTAAAATATACAAAATTAATTGCCTTGTTTTTGGTTAACTTTTGAATGGCTGCAAAAGCGCGGTGCTACATAAGAAGATAAATCCTAAGGCGGCAGTTAAATTTGGCATCTTAGCTGTTTATTTTCATATTAAATATTTCTGTCCATTCATATACGCGCTGTTCCTTTGTAGCTAATTGCATTCGATATATACTTAATTATATATATATATAATAATTATATTACTAGCGCTTATAGCTAAGTAATTAATACTTCATATAAGTATAACAAATAACATAAAACAAATATAAAAAATACATTTATAAAAATATAAATTAATATAATAATAGAAAATTAATCTACGGCTAGCAAAAGAGATTGCGATTTACTATAATGGAATAATTTCTTTTTAATACAAAAAGAAAATATTAATAGAAGCACTGCTAACAGAAATCAAATTGTTTATTTTTAGGTTTGAGTTTTATGAGTTGATTAGTTCTAAGATAATTTTAATATAGTTTTTGATTAACTTAAATCTGTTAATGAGCAATTTGTTTGCAATATAATATTTTCCTTTGTTTTTACAATTACAATAACATTTTTTAAAACTATATAATCTTATATATATATATGTGTATATATATTAATGTTAACGGCATTTGTTTTTTTTAGTATACAATTTGTTCATTAAGGAAGCTTTCTATTTTATCATTTGTTTAACATTCTGTAACCATTTTGTAATTTCATTAACTTTTACTATTTTTTTTTTGTTGTTATGAAAATATATATAATTTTAATTACTTATATTTTATTTTGTATGAGATCGAAATCATTGTTTACAAATAGAATTTATAAGCAACATTTTTAATTAAAATTGGAATGCATAGCAACAATTATTTAACAATGGCTTTAATATTTTGTTTTTGGTGGGGCAAGTGTTTTTTACACATCTATTAAAATTTTTTTAATTTTTTATTGCTAATTTTTTTTTTAATTCTTCTAATTTGTTAATTTTGTTTTTTAGATTGTTCTAAATTTTTATTCTCATAAAACTGCAAATTCCTACATATTTTACAAAAGAAAAACGAACAGCAAAAACTTAAACATAAATTTTTAATAACCATTAGGCATTAGCATATTAAGCGAACAATTTTTTATAAATATATTTTTAAAATATAATTAGTTTATTTATGTTGGACGCCAAACATCAGGATCTTCCATGAGAGTGATATGTTGATCTGTACTCATTTGCATTTGTCCACCATTTGTGGGCATTTGTGTTGGTGATGTTGCAGCAGCCGCCATATCCTCACGCGATGCTCTATTTTCGTTTTAGTATTTTTTTTAATATTTAATATTATTATTTACAAAAGGTTTTAGTTTTTTTTTATTAATAAAATATTTAACAAACAAAAGTAAATTTTTTCAATTTTTTGTAAGCATTGGAAGGCACAAAAGGGAAAGAAAAGAAACAATCATTTTATTAATATAAGAAATTATCCAAAATACACATCAGGACTTAATAATAGGTTTTAATAAATAATTCGTTCGGGGTTTCATATAATATATATATAAAATATGTATATAAAATATATATATAAATAATATAAAAAAGATATTTTGATTTTTTTTTATATATATTGTGAAGGGTTATCCATTTTAAACCACTTGTTATTGATCAAATTTTTTTATTCGATCAAATATGATATTTAGATCATTATTTCAAATAAGTTTTCATATTAATATGTTGTTTGGATCATTACAATGTGTAATGTGTGCTTACAACTGGAAGTGTTAATGTTTGTAATAGCACGATCTAACTTAAACTAACGTAACCTATTCTTTATGTCTGGCCATTATAGCTATAATACAAAATCACCGCCGGTGGTTTGACGAGTGTCCACTTATAAACGGCTTTTTGGATATCTCACAAAATAATTACAATGGTGATAAATCGCGTGATTACGATCATCATCATCATCCGTGACTAAACAGTCCATGTAGGACCTAAACCTGTTTAACAACAGCTCTCCTTTCTTCTCTGTTTCTTAGTTTTGTTTTCCAATTTCTTATGTTCTACTGCTTTTAAGTCCTGCTGCACACTGTCTTTCCATCGTTTTCTTGGTTACTCTTTTCTTCTGCTGGTTTCTACTTCGTTCTTATATATCTTAAGCAGTACTCTCTCATATCCGGCATTCTTATTACATGTGCATGATTAAGATGGCAAATTAAAGTAAAATTAAACGTCTAGAATATGTTCTGTGACTTATAGTACCATTCCTCAATCTTTCAATCCATTTTTAATTTCAGGCCAAATAAATACTAATCATGTGGCTGTAGCAATCAAAAAAGAAAATCTTCGCACCTAACACACCTCATTCCAAATGACATATCATACAGTGAGTTTTTGTGAATGTAATACTCTTTTGACAGTTACTTATAGAACTTCACTGTCCAAATATAATAATCTTCTTTATTGACATATCCATCTAACCAAAAATAAACCTCACTAAAGAGAATTCTATGCAAAAAATCATCATCAATTTTCATAATCTTAGAATGTTCAGCAGTTGTTAAACGATTTATCTTATAAAATAACAAATCTAAAGATATGATAAATTAAATGAGTTCTGTTTTATAAATAGCACTTAATAAATAGTGCCAAATCAGAACAATAAAATGAATAACCCTTTGTAAACATAAGTACACATAAAAAAAAGTAATTTTTATAATAAATAGTAATAATCTAATTTTAATAATCTAATCTTGGTACACATAAATCTATGCTAAGAATGAGAGGTAAGTTTATATTTTATAAATGTATTGGTACTGAATGATTATAAAATTATTTAGTATCTTCTTAATAATTTGCATCTACTTGAATTGGTAGGATACAAAAAACAAAATATCACCAAATAAAATTTATTTTGTTGACTTTAAAGTAGGCCCTATCTAGGACAACACAATCATGTCAGTGTCAGACATAATCTGTATTTTTTAAGGAATTATAAATTTCGGATACTTTGCACACTAAATGTTTAACACAAAACTAGCTTCAATTTTTACAATATATTATTTTAATTATATAAAAAATCATCTTTAGCATTTTCATGAAATACATATGGATTTGTTTATAGCTTATACTGCAAACAGTTTTTAAAATATATAAAAATAGAATAAATACTAATAATAAAATATATATTAACAATAAAATAAATATTTTTAAAATTGATTATCTTATACAGACATAAATGTTTATTTATAGGGAAATCTAAAAAATTTTTCAACTTTAAATCATGTTTCTACAGTTCCAAAGAATATGACTTTTATAACATTATAGGTTAATAAAAAAAGATTTAATTGCAGATGAAACTGATAGTTAATAACTATAGGAAAATTAATTTTCCATTAACAGTTTATGGGTTTTAATGTGAACTCACAATCTCTTTAAATTTCTTTATGCTAAATAAAATTATTACGTATTGATACACTTTTTCTTTTATAAGTGAAATCAGAAATATAAAATGATTGCTGCTTATAAAACCTTAACAGCAGAGTTGATTATAGGATGTAGTATCCTGGATTTACTAGAATACCACCGTGTGATCTAAGAGGAAACACACCCTTAGATCAGAAGGAAATTTTTAGTGCAATTTGTACTGCTTTTCCATTTATTTTGATATCATCGCTGGTAAGATGAATGAATCATTCAATATATCCCAAGAAGGGTGAACTTTTTACTTCAATTACAATAAGCAATAGTTGCCATTTTCGCGTTCACGTCTTGCATAGTACGCACGCACCAGAAGCGTCTGGAGAGACATGCTGCATCAGACCGAAACGCGATAGCGGGTCTTTATGGCCAAATAAGAATGTAAGTAAGCTATAGTTCTAATTATAAGTTTGAAATATATAAATGCGTAATTAAATCTGTTGTTAGAGGGCTACATTAAATCTATTGACTTGTATTTTAATACTGTATGTTCAAACTTTTTGTATATTCTAATCATATGGACTTTGTTGTTTCAGTGCTTAAATGGAACATTCCTACATGCTTAGTCTGAGTTTTCTATGCCCATTCCACGGAATCAAAAATCGGAAAGCTCAACTTATGTTAGCAATACTTTAGAATGCAGGTATTTGAAAATAACAGAGATACAATTTTTAAATCTACTATTTTTAGTGAAATTAGTATGAGCAATTATTTCACTGAACGCATAAGTAAGTAATATTGTATTCCTTAAATTCTTTGAATGGCGATCATAAACTTCAGAAATATAAAAACTTCATAGAGGTATATACTTTTAACATAAATATACATATAAAATTGTTGAAATGTAGAGCATTTAAGATACAAAAAATACCTAATGGGTAATAATATTGACAAATTTTAGTTTGCTTCTACTAAAACAAACACAGACTTTACGTATATAAATATACAAATTATAGCGTCATATTTTTTTTCTTCTATCTTCAACTTCACGTACTTAAACATTAAAAAACAACTGTTTAAATACATAAGCATATGAACACATTAAGTTGACAATAATTTTATTCTGTTGCAATTTGTTTACTTACTTTTTGCCTAATGCCATCATGCCATAAATAACTCCAGTACCAAAAATGAGACCACAACCAAATATACTTCCCAAACCTGGGCAAAGTATTATGGGCGGTATCGCAAGACTAAATCGAGAATAAGAAGAAAAATAATTTATTAAGAACATTGATGTTATATTTTATAGTACTTACCAACAATACAATGCTGCACGATTCCAAAGTGGTCGAGCATCAGCTTTCTCTGCAATTTGATTAACATAATCTATACATATAAAACAGAATGGCGCTTCTAATGCCATCACTATAAATCCAACTAGCATTTGTATAATTCCTGAGAGTAGACAAGTTACGCTTAGAAAAACAATACTTAACGCATTATACAATCCAAAAAGTATGGCAACTGTAACAAAAATAAAAAATATAGTTTAAATATTAATTTTATGTTTAAGTCAATTATGACAAAAATGAAATAAATAAATTAATAATAATTAATTAATAAAAAAAAAATATTTTACTATTGCAATTCACTGCTGTCCAAAAACATTTATATTTTGAGTAAATTAAGCAAAGTATGAACAATTAAATATCAACACCAAAAAATTATATATTTGAACATCTATCTGAACTCAGTATTTATTTACAAAATGTATGAGTCTTTTTGAGAGGTCTGTGAGCCTTCGGCTTAAAATAATGGAGCACATCAAAAATAATACAATTATACCAAAGTATCAATCAAAGTATCAAGTTCATTAGATTCATTATTAATGTTTATTACGCGACCGTCACTGCTACATGGATGTGAAGTGTTCAACAAGGTCTTAAACACTACTATTTGCAAGCTAATAACTTCACAAAGCCAGGTTCTGAGAAGACATTTCAAAGTACCATAGTACATTAGAACGAATGTCATCCTCAGTGGCCTCAAGATTGATCGGATCAAAAAATACATAAAGGATAGAGACCTGCAATTATTTACGAAAACTGACAGACCTACCAACACCGCGTCATCGAATCTCAGAATGGTTACAGGCTCCTCAAGGAAGTATGCAGATCTGAGGTCAATTATTGCTTAATCTGATGAAGTGATAAATAATAATCTAGTCAAGGCGTAGAGAGGGGTTATGAAGAAACCTAGCAGTTAACAAAGAGTAAAAGTGCTCAAGTGCACTGACTCAGCTAGCCTCAACATAATAATAATAATTATGAGCAAATATGCACATAAAGATACTTAGTTTTTGACTTCGCTATTGAAAGTTAGAGAGTATTCTACAAAATAATCTATCGACCCATTAACTTCACTCAACGAAACTGTTGAAATTATAGAATTAAAAAGACCACAATTGGGATCAACTATAGAAAAATTATATTGAAATCTAATAATATAACTAAATACGAGTACATATATATAAAGTTTTTTGAAATGTGAAAGTAGTTAAAGTTCTTATAAAACAATTTTACTTTTTAATTTAAAAAATAGTATTAGGTGAAAAAAAGTATTAATTATTAAATAAACTACATGTTAATACTATCAATTATTTTAAAAATATTTTCATTTAGGTATTGTTATTAATTAATACTGAATTTTTAATGCAAAAATATAAATTAGTTCAGCAGCTATGCCGCGATGCATTTAACTTAAATGGCTTCATTATCGTGAGATACAAAATAGTTTATGTAAAACTCGTAGAGCTTAGATACAAGCACATATAAGCAAATCATTCCCGCCAAGTGCGGCTGCTCATAATAGATTTGTTGATATGAATAAATAATGAAATATTGAAATGTTTACAAACAAGTGATATTTGTTGTTAACTGCTATGAATTGTTTTATAACCTCGCCGATTGCCACAAAGAAAATGAGTCATTCATGATAGACTCAGTTACTTAAACCAGTTGCCGGCTTTTACATTCGCTACTTTTCATTAAAACCACCACATGAATTTAGTGTGAGTTTAATGTAAAATACAGTTTTAGCGCATTCAACCGTTGAGCAGTCGAACGAACCAGTTTCTTTAGTGGACTCAAATTTCATCTCCAAACGAGCAATTTCTGATTTTATTTTTGATAAAATAAAGTACCGATAAGTTGTTATTTTTTTTAAATAAAATTTTATATTGAAAAGTCGTCATATTACATTCTATTATTTGCTTTCACACTAAAAATTGATAAAAATAAAAACATTAAAGAAATTAATTTCATTGTTATTTTCTTTACTCTCTTATCAACTCTTATAGTATTGCTATTATATTTTTATGATATTTAAAGCTCTATGATAATAAATAAAAAAAAACCTGAAATATAGTGCGATTATCTACGCTGTATAAAAATTTTCAAAAAAACAGATATGACTAATGAAATCCAAAAACCAAAAAACTTTTGGTAACATTTAAAGGCCGAAAAAAAAAAATTGTGGGCGTAGATGAAATTTTGGACAAAATTGATACAGATTTAGTTCAGTTTCAGTTATGCTGAAATATTTAACATATATTTCTTTCAATATGTTACACATATACCATATGCGATAAAGATCTGAGGACAGCATTTGTTATCATAGTATAAAAGCAAAACCTTACGGAATTTTAGAGCTATCTAAAGTTTGGGAATCATTTAAAACCAATTTCATTATTTCCATTAACAAAAATCTCTTTTAAGATACAAAATAAAAAATGAACACATATAAATACAACAATAATAGGAAATAGCAATGTATGAACACAAAACCCCAGCTGAACGGCTTTAAGACAGGTTAGAACAGATACAACAACAACACATACAGATCTGAGAACAGCATTTGCTATCATAGTATATAAACAAAATATTACTGAAATTTAGAGCTCTCTAAAGTTTGGGAATCATTTAAAACCAATTCCATTATTCCTATCAACAAAAAACTCTTTTTAGATACAAAAAAAAAAAATTAGCACATGTAAATACAAAAACAATAACAAATAGTAATATATAAACACAAAACCCCAGCTGAACGGCCTAGAGACAGGTTAGAACAGATGCAACAATAACACATCTAGAAATATATTCTTTAGTTGTTCAGTTATAGTTTACCCTCTTTTGAAAATATTGTGAATAATTTTAGAAGGACTGACCAGGACATGTTTATTTTTCTTTGCCATAAATATTTTAAAACATTTAGTTATTGATAATCTCTAACATTACAATTGGACAATATAAATATTGTTCCGTTCTATCATAAAAGATTATATGATATATGACTGTACCTATAAGGTGGGTTGTTCTATTTAATTCTATTACTTCTATTTACTTCTTCATTATCTACTGCAACCTTTCTACTTACTCGTCTATTGGAACACAAGACATTATTTGCAGTTGTCTTTATTATATTCTCAATTCTTTACCACATATTATCAATAGAATACAAATCGTATTTACACAGACTTATACTTAATTACCACAGAAACCTACAAATAACATGATCATTCTTCAATATCTAGTCGAGATTATATTTGCATGTCTACATTTGGGGGCGATGAAAATAATATGAAACTTGGGCTTCTGGAAGCGGTCGGGTGTACTCTCCAGAGTCATTTGTTTTTTGATACATTCGAGCAGTATGTTTCTTTCATTTCTTTCAATTGGATTTTATTTCCAACGTAGTAGATTTTCTAGGGTTCTTTCAAGTTACATCAATATTGAAAATTTGTAGCTTAAATTGGAAAATCTTCAATTCATTCCAATAAGTACTAAAGAAAGTGTGCCCTCACAATCATTCTTAATAATATGCCATTTTGATCTGTAATATATTAATCAATATGAATACTTTTCTTTCTGCATGAAAAGCTTGTTTAAATAGTTTTAAGTATTTAAAAATCCAGTGCTGGTATTGGAACTCTAAATACGTTAGTCAAAAATTATTTAAACTTCGGTTAAAACGAGTGTTCTCAAAACACTTCACTACGGCAAGAACTGTCCTATCTCAATTGAGATCAGGATATAGCCATGTGCTTAACAGTTACTTGTCACGTATTAACACGTCCATTCCTAATGTGTGCCCAAACTGCAGCTCCACACCCCATGACGTCGCCCATCTGTTTTCTTGAATCAACGCACACACCAATTTAAGTCCAATCGACCTTTGGACTCGTCCCCTTGAAGTGGCTAGGTTTCTTCGACTGGATCCTGGTTAGTTTCAAATTACTCCCACCCCTCCCCTTTCCCTCATCCCAACACTCACTCCCACCTTTTCCATTCCTTACCCCATGTATTCGTCTTGTAATCCTTTCATGTTATCTGCTTTCAGGTCCCGGCGGGTTACAACAACAACAAAACACTTCACTCGATATGTGAATAGAAAGGTATAATTTAACAGGGTATGAGATATTTTATATTAACACACGACCAGAATGGAACTCAAAATACGTTAGTCAAAATTTATTTAACCTTCTGTTAAAATGAGAATCCTCAAAACAGGATTAACAGGGTATTAGAAATTAACAGGAGTGTAGAAATTAACAGGGTATTAGATATTTTGTATAAAAACCCGACGAGAATGTTTCTGGTTGAAGATTTCTTTGTATCTAGTGTTACTTTACACTCCTCTGGGCAAAGGAAAAGTGAACGGCTTTATATCCAATCAAAGCCGGTCAGTACAAACAATATAACTAGAATTCTCAAGTGCTTTCAGGTAGTGACAACATTTTGCCATCTCAGATATTGTTAAAGTGGTAATAGACGTTAAGGTGACCTATGTTCTACTAAAGTTCTGAATTGCTTTCAGACAGTGATTATATTCTAACCCTTCATATAGACTTATGTTGTAGAGATGGTAACGCAGGTGATATTGACCTCTTTTATATTTATATTAAAAAAGTAAATATGCCATATTCTATCCCCTCAAATAGACTCATGTTGGTAAGGTGATAACGCAAGTCATAATGGCATCTTTTATATTTTTATTAGAAAAGTGAATATAATCTAAAAGAATTTTATTTCTATGAAATTTAAATAAAAATATATCAAAATATATTTATTTAAATATTAAGAAAATCATTTTACATTCATAAAACATAATATGTGTATCTAAATAGCTTGCTCTCGTTACTAAATTATATCAGTCAGTTTGCACAACAATGTACGTATATTAATTTGTATATATTGTAATAGTTTTTATATGATTGTGTTATGGATTTTATCACCCACCACAGACTATTGAATAGTTTCTTAAGTAGTGTCAAATTACAACAAGAAAATAAAAACGCACGTGAATTTTGCAAAGGAAAGATAATATGTGAACTAATAGGTTTGACTTATGAAATAAAAAAAGTATAAACCTATAGAACTACATATAGCAAAAATAGTAATTAGCATTAGTCAGAATTTTAGGTTGAGAAAAAAATAAAATTATATAAAAATAACTTTGATAATTATTATCAGCTGCAAATTAAATTATCGGTAAAAATGCAATTGTAATCTTTGTTGATATTTGTTTTAATATAACTAATTAGTTAAACGCAAAATGCTGCAAAATATCTTAATATATAAATTGTAGCATATATTGTGTATAATACTAGTAGAATATATACATATATCTATTTTCATATAAACTTTTTATTTAAAGGCTATATTGAAAATCTTTAATCTTTGGAAATAAGATATTTAGAAATAATACTAGAAGGTCTAGCCTACATAGACCACATTGGCAATATTGCAACAATCAGCTTTGTTTATTCGCGGTTGGACTCAATTGGAAAATAAAATCATATACAAAAGTAATAAAAATTAATTCTTTTTAATTAAACACAAAAAATTATATGTGCCTCGAAGTTCAATGCTTAAACAGATTTAAATAAAATATTTTTAGAAATTATAATATTGGTACAATGAACTTTCTACTTGTATATATATTGATTATATACATATATAAGTATATAAAAGCATATTGCAATTAAGTTTCTATAACAAAGAGATTACTTTTATTAAATATGGAAACAAATAAAATCTTTGTTATCACTGCAAATTATTAAAAATTCTAATTCAAAGAACTTTATCAAATTTAAAAAATTTAAGCGTTTTACAAATTTAAAAGAAAAAAAATGAGTCTGGCACAATGCAACTTTTACTATCAATGTCGTTTCAAACACTATAAGTATGCGGTAGTGGGTGATTGGGCGCAACGTAGTCGATGCACCGAATAGCACCATCCCCTTCGGCCTTACTGGATACAAACAAAACAAAAAAGTATACATGAATTATCGATCAAAGAATTCTATGCATATTATTTTTTTCACCTTAAACAGCTGTGAATTTTTTGAATGTTATAACATTTTTAATTTGTTATTAAATAAGAAAATATAAATAGAACTTACAGAATGCTCCAACAATACCCAATAATCGGCCACCATACTTCATGTACCATGGCGCATCATTAAGTCCCGCTGGATCCGGTTGATTTGGTCTCGATAATAATCCTGTTAATTTTTCCGCAAAAGACTGCAATAAATTTGTTTTATTTTTTATTCTATTTTTTATTATTATCAATTATGTCAACTGACGAATAAAGAACATTTTATCAGAAAAATCTTTAACCACTACGTTTACTTTCAATAATCAAATTTGGTATTTGTATATCACGCATTTGAGTTTTTCTTACCATACTTATATTTAAAACTATGCAGCTGACTTAAACAATATTAATTTATATGATTCTTATTACTTTATTAAAATTTCACCACTTTTTTTATTTATTATTTCTCTGCTGGCTGCTCTGTTCGCTTTCTTTCACTGTCGTACAACCAAAATAATTCTTCTGACGAAGTAAAGAAATTTGACACATCATTCCAGTTAGATAAAGCAGCGAAATATGCACATTTTGACATTGTTCACTATTATAGTGTTGAGAAATGTGTACTGAACCTTTGTGGTATACGTGGAATATAAACAGAACATATTGTCCGCGTTTATGTTTTCTCTTTCATAAAAGAAAATTGAAAGTAAAGAAGACAAAGAAAAGAAACTGATAGTTACGTAAAAATTGTGCAGAAACAATTGTTGATACTCCCATAGATATTATTAGGTTTGTTCCACGAACTACTCGTATAAATTTTAAGTAACACTGCGTATGCACAAGTGCGTTCCACCAGCAAATATTCGAGTAATTGAAAGCATATAAGAGAGCGTAACATCCCTGTCGAAATTTAAAAATGCTACACAGACTTTACTCGTACATATTATTTCAAGTAAAATTTGTGTAATGTATGAATCAGCTGTTTTGGTTTGAATTTAAATTTTTGAATTGTTTATTTGCACTTTATTTGTGTTACGCTCTCAGTGTTTACTTTACTTATGTTTTACTTGAGTTTTACTACGAGTAGTTCGTGAAATATACCTAATAATTAACTTGAAGTTAATTACATGTATAATAACGTTTCAAATAAATTGAATTGAATTGATAAATTAAATTGAACTGTTAAATAAAAAGCGATTTGTTAGTTTATTTGATTTATTTATTTTTATATACGTTATTTGTTATGTAAGAATATATAATTTGAAATTAACTTAGCTTATTACTATTTATATTAAAACAATATAATGAAACCATAATACATTGTTTTTCGCATTGTAAACAAATTATTTTACTACATTCATATAAAATTTTGAAATATTTATTTTCTTATTTCTTAATTTTCCGAAACACATTATAATATAGTTTAACTCTTTAATTAATATAAAATGATTAAGTAAACGCACAAAATTCAAATAAATAGTGGCAAGTGTCAAATTATGCCATACATTTTTCATTTTCTAGCATGCAGCACCTTCTTGTAAGCCGCGCATAAGGTCTCACGAGCCTCAGCTTGTACTCTTGCGCACGAGCGTGAGCTCTGAAACCATCGTGAGCGTGAGAAAAGAAAAGAGCCGGCTCATAAGCTTTTTGCTTCTTGCCGGCTCATAAGCCGCAAGCAAACTGAGCCGAAAAGAGCTGCTCATAGGTACGCAAATACGAACTTGAAATATAAAGTGTATATATCCTCTAGATACCAGACTAGATTACAATTAATGTCATTTAAGTAGATATGTTCCCGTACAAAGTTGTAGTAAAATTTATGTAAAAAAAATTGCTTAAATATTATTATTTTCTGTTCGTGTACCCGAAATCTTCATACTGTAATATATTTATTTAAAGTTCGCTTGAGAAATTTTTTTAAGTAAAATTCTAGTTAAGTGAAGAAATATCTAACTAGAGTTATACATGTACATATACATATGTATACGACAGTTAAATAAGGTTTTTATTGTCATAGTGGGAAAGAAGTATGAAATTATGAAAGTTGCATAGTTTGTATATGAAATTAAGTTAATCATAAAAACGCAAAATTGTAAATTTCATTTTTTGCAACAGAAAAAAAAGTAACTTGGAACGATAATTATTGCTTGTTAATTTTTTATTATTTATTTATAAATTTATAACAAGTTTAAAAAAAAATGAGTTATAAAAAATAAGTTAATGCCCTTAATGAGTTTTGAACTCTGTACACTCCAAGTAATTCTGTTTAGAGATGAGTTACCAAATGCTTGTTTCAAAAATATATTTTTTTAGGCACAAAATTTAAATTTTATTTACAACATATTAGTTATATTAACGTTCAATCCATACATAATAATTTTCCTTTATTTCCTTTTAATTTTTCTTCTTTATGTTTCTTTTCAACTTTAATTAATACTGTTTTTAATATAATTTGTTATTTATTTAATTCAAGCATATATAATATTATATATACTATACATTTGTAAATTTAATATGCTAATATATGTTTTAGATATATTTATATTCTTAAGTTATTCTCAACTGTATCGGCTCATAAATACAATGGCCATTAAAATAAGCTTCTGGTTTACGATAACATATATATAATAAGAAATTAATAATAATTTATTAATGATTATTTTTATATGGCAACCCTAAATTGTGAAATGGCTTCTAAGTAATTTTAAACAGATATATCTTCACTGGAAGGTTGGCATCTTCTGTAATCACGCTTCTGTGAGGTTTGATTGTGGGATACCCTGAGACCGGGAGTTCTGTGCAGTGGACTTGTTCATGTTGACGGAATGTCCGCACTAAGCTTGCCATCAACATGGGCGCCAAAGAGGAGTCTTCGGCGTTCAGGTTGCTAAGGAGAGATGTAACGGGCCAGGGGTGTGAAAACCAGCAGCCAAGAGTTTCCGTGGTATGCAGTAGTGGGATAGCGTACCGGAGTGAAACGCCATTGTCAGCCCAGTTAATATGGTTAGACCACAATCTTTTTGCAAAAATAATGCATTTAGTATATTTTATATGTAATATTATTTAAAAAAAATTAGAACAGTTGAATAAACTTTAATTACATATTTTATCATGATCTAATCAGACGAGCGAAATCAGAAGTAATTCCATCTATATAGATGAAGTGTATATATATGTTTCTAATATGATTTTAGTTTATTTAAGCTATAAGTAACTTTAATTAAATTATTTATATATAATTAAAAATTATTATTTATTAAGGAAGGACTGTCGTTAAATCCAATATTAAATGTGTGATACATTTAACTTAATGACAATATATGGATGAATTTTTATTTTTTACACTAAACGCTCTTTGTTAAAAGTAATTTATTTAAAAACGCTTTCGTCGCGTAATTTTCTTTGATATTTTTAAAATCGTTTAGATTTGCTAACACAATCGTAAAAAACAAAATTCTTATATGTAGAGTTAAATTGACACCAAGTTAATATTAGATTATTGTAATATTTCTTGTTTTCAAAACATATGTATAATAAAAATAATGATATATATAAAATAGTTCCAAACTGCGCTCAAAACCATCAACTCATTATAAGTCTACAATGATCAAACAAATCTCGCTTAAATAAAAGCTTTCGAAAAAGTTCTTTCAACAGCGCAAATTATTCCTATTTAGAAGCAAAATACTAGGATCAACTTAAATGAGTCCATAAAAAGCGTTATTTCATTAGAAATAGACGAATAGTTGGATGCTCTTACTAGGTTGAACTAAGCGATCTTTAAGAAGTACTAAAAATAAATTTTGAGGATGTTTCGTGTTACTTAGAAGATTCAAAAAAAATTGTTTATCTAAATTTTTGTATATATTTTATTAAATGATCTCAAAAAATATTTTATTGAAACTTTGTAACTAGTTCATCGGAAATCAATCATTTAGAGGACCCTTTAATAAACTTGAAAGATCTATTTATTCTAAGATACAAAAATTCTTAGTGCTTAATATAGAATAAATATATATAGATTGATTCATAGTAATACAATTTATAAAACTTATTAGTAGTGTTGTTTTTCTAATAAGTAGAAAAGTTAAGTTGAAGTTGAAGAAGTTTAATTTTTCCAGTAACACATTTCTTTCATTTCTCCATTCGATTTCAATCTTTTGTAACGATTTCAAACTGTAATGTTGCTTAATAGCACATTAAGACTGTCTCATTTAGACACTTGCTCATTTATATTAATGAGCGAACGTTCACATTATAATGAGCTAATGATAGAACTTTTATAAACTTTTATAAACTTCACTTAATATAACATCACATAAAAAAATTTTATATATAATTGATATATTAATTCATTTATATACATCTTATATATCAATTACAAGTTTAATGGTGAAAAACAAAGATTTTTTACCACAAAAGCGCAAAAGCCCAGCTGTTATTTGAAATATATGATAAATATTTTAACTTTTGGTAATTTATTTTGGTAACTTTATTTTAAAGGGTTATATTCGATTATTTTCGTGTTAAATAAGCTGATTTATTGATAATGAGCTCAATTATATGAAAGATTTTTGTATGGTAAATCATCCTCATTAGTGGTTATAATGAGCAAAACCACCTAAATGAGACAGTGTGAATGTACTATTAAACATGTGAACTCAAACTATAATAATTAGCTGGGGTGCGCCGGATTGCATAACTTGTTAATACATCTTACTTATATTAATTAATATAACTTTTTAAATCTAATTGCTTAATTGATGTAGAATAAGATTATACTACACAGTGTAGTATTATCATAAACAACTTATATTGTGTATTTATATCCAAGTTCAATCGCAAAATCGGCACTAATTTAAAAAAAAAACAACTTTATCCATATTTCATAATTAATTTGAAAAGTTAAGCTTTTTAAGTTTACTCAAAGAACACTTATGGCTTTGGATATTTTATATGATCTGTTTTGTATATATATATGGAAAAAGTTTACATTATCTTCCTCTATTTATTTAAACATATTTATTCTTGAATTTATAATAGATGTATAACTGATGATCGAACAGTTAAATTTAAAAATTTTAGTGGACATTTACTTTGTCTGATATTGTATATATATTACTATATATAAGTTATTTATGGTAGTATTGTCAAATCTTGACAAATTTTAGTATGTTTTATTAGTACACACCGTTCACAATTTAAGGAACTGCACTGGTAATATAACGTAGTTTATTAAACTCCTTTCCGAATTTAATAAATATTTCAAGTTCTGACAACTGAAGTATAAACGTAATATGAAATTATAAAATATTAAAAGTTAGAAATTGCAATTCATTTACTTAAAAATATGTAGTTGCGTTAATTAGAGAATATATACGAGAAAATCAATGTATGAATTTTGTCCCTCCTAAGAAGAGTAACACTATATATAAACGATTGTGAGCTGTCATGGATCAAGATTAATAACTAATTAATTTTGAAGTCATTTTTAAGATTTTTATGTTTGAAATTAAAATTAAGT